CAAGCCTGTAACTCAGTAATTTCTGAAGCAGAGACATGATTGTGAGCTCAAGGCAAGCCTCAGCAACTTAAAAAGACCCTATCTCAAAGTAAAATATAAGAAGGATTAGAGTAGTGGATGGCCCCTGAGTTCAATCATTACTAACACAAAATAAATAAATAAGCTATTGTAGCTATATTACTGTCAGAGAGAGTAGACAAAACTAAATATGAAAAGAATATTTCTTCATTTAGAAGTCATTCAATATAAAATAGACCTATTAATGAAATTTTACATAAAAATATAAAATGTAAGTGCACAGGTCTATAGTCATAATGCGAAGTTTTTAAAAACTTTTATCAATAACAGAAAATGATGGAAAATAATATTCATATTTGAAGAACCTGATATATTTGGGTATGCCATAAAACTGCCCAGAAATGATTTGAATCTAAAGAATACATTTTCCAGTCATGTTGGAATTAAATCAGAAAAAAAATTAGAGAAAAAATTAACTAAAAAAAATAAATAAAAAATTAACTAAAAACCCTCTAGGTTTTGAAAACTAAGTAATATACGTCTAAGTAATTTAGATTCCATAAAGAAATCACAATTATATTTGCATTTTTATATCACCAATACCACTCCCAGGCATATAAGCAATAGAGCTATATGAATATTTAAAATAATATGTATATTAATTAATATTGTCAAAATGGCCATACTACCAAAAGCATTATACAGATTTAATGCAATTCCAATTAAAATCCCAATGACAATCTTCATAGAAATATAAAAAGCAACCATGAAATTTATTTGGAAAAATGAATGGTCCAGAATAGCCAAAGCAATCTTTAGTAAGAAGAGTGAAGCAGGAGGAATCCCAATACCACACCTTAAACTATACTACAAAGCTATAGTAACAAAAAGGCATGATATTGGCACCAGAATAGACATGTAGACGAATGGTACAGATAGAAGACACAGAGACAAACCCACATAAACACAGTTATCTCACTCTAGACAAAGGTGCCAAAAACAAACAGGAAAATAGATAGCCTCTCCAACAAATGGTGCTAGGAAAACTGGAAATATATATGCAGTAAACTAAAACTAAACCCCTCTCACCATGCACAAAACTCAACTCAAAGTGGATCAAGTATCTCAGAATTAGACCAGAGACCCTATATCTAATAGAAGAAAATGTAGGCCCAAATCATAATGTCAGATTAGGCCCTGACATCTTTAACAAATCTCCTAAAGTGCAAGAAATAAAATGAAGAACCAATAAATAGTATGGATTCAAACGGAAAAACTTCTTCTCTGTGAAAAGAAACCATTAATGAGTGAAGAGAGAGCCTATATTTTGGAGCAAATTTTTGCCACACTCAAGACGGATAGAGCACCAATATCCAGGATATATAAAGAGCTCAAAAAGCTTAACACCAACAAACAAACAAACAACCCAATCAATAAATGGGCTAAGGAGCTGAACAGAGACTTCTCAGAAGAAGATATACGATTGATCAACAAATACATAAAAAATGTTCAACATATCTAGGAATTAGAGGAATGCAAATCAAAACTATTCTAAGACTTAATCTCATGCCAGTCAGAAAGGCAGTTATTAAGAATACAAGCAACAGTAAGTATTGGCAAGGATGTAAGGGAAAAGGCACACTCATACTTTGCTGGTGGGATTGCAAATTTGTGCAAACAATCTGGGAAGCAGTATGGAGATTCCTTGGAAAATTTGAAGTGGAGCCACCATTTGACTCAGCTATCCCCCTCCTTGGTCTATACCCAAAGGACTTAAAAACAGCATACTACAGTGATGAAGCCACTTCAATGTTTATACCAGCAAAATTCACAATTACCAAACTATGGAAACAACCTAGATGCCCTTCAATAGATGGATGGATAACAAAACTGTGGAATATTATACACAATGGAATATTACTTAGCATTAAAAAAGATTGAAATTTTGGGATTTGCAGGTAAATGGATGGAGTTTGAGAAATCATGATAAGCAAAATAAACAAATTCCAAAAAAACAGGGCCTGAATGTTTTCTCTGATAATGATTGCTAATGCAAAATGGATGGGGCATGGGATGAGTGCAAGAATTTGAGATGGGGCAAAGGAGAGGGGACAGAAAGAATGGGTGCAGAAAAGTTGGTGGACTGAGATAGACATTGAGGGCTTCAGGAGAAAAACTGAAAACAAAAAATTGTGTCTGTAACTTAATATGCACAGGAAAAATGATAGGAGAGAACATTTCTAGTATATGAGCTTCTGTGGTCTAGTAGTGATAGACCCAGCCTGATTTTCTCTTAAAATTGGGAGCCATCTCACCACAAAGCCATGAAAAGATAAATTCGGCTTTACTATAAATTACTGCAAATTCTGAACTAGCTTGGAATGCCTGCCTTGACCTCACCCATGCCTGGTTCTCTCTGACCAGATAGTAGCCCTCTCTGAAACTTCAGTGACGCCTCACAAATCTTGGCCTTCCCTGGCCAGATAAGGACCCACTCTGAGGCTCTAATGACCATCATAAATTCTGACGTCGGGGCCAGCAAAAATGTAAACTAGCCTTTGTGTTATGCTCCTCAGAGTTTTGTTATCTGTAACCTCCCTTCTGTAACTTTCTGGGCTATAAGTCTGGGCTGCAAGAAAGCTGTGGGGCTGTCTTGTTCCCATGGTTTTGGTGGTAGAGGCAGCCCGGCCAGTCGAAATAATAAGCTTACTTTAATTTGATTTTAATTGGAGTCAGTGGTCTTTTCTTGTGTCCTGGTCTAACAGAGTTCCAAAGAGTATATCTGGATGTTATTCTAAATATGATTATGAGTGAAAATCTTTGAACAAGTGTTATAATCTGAAATGGATACTAGGTAGAAATTAGACAGTAGAGAGCAATAAAGAAGATTAAAAACAGAGAGACTGATTAAACTCATTTCACCCACTATGACAATTTCTCTTCAAAGACTTCAAGATGATCATTTCAACTACAATTAACTATCTTATAGTGCTTAGAATGGCTTATTATCATTTTATCTGAAGCAATCAACCTTCCATTTTCTTTTGGAAAATATTTGCCCATAAGAAAATCCCAAATTAAAAGTTAAACTTTCTATGATGATCTAACATCTTTAACAGCAACAAAAACAAAAGTCTATGGATATTCTTTGCATTTGTGTGTAGTACTGAGAATTGAACTCAGGTGCATTGTTCATGATAGGCAAATGTTCTACCACTGAGCTACATCATCAGCCCACTTTGTTGAATTTTGAGACAATGTCTTGCTAAGTTGCCCAGACTTAGCCTTGAACTTACTATTCTGCTTCATCCTTCCAAATAGCAGGAATACAGGCCTGTGTCACCAACCTGGCTCTTCTGTGGCTACCTAAAGCACTTGTTTAGATTCAGTTTTATGAACATTTTTAAAAACCTTACATAGACTTAATATACTTATGCAAATTAAGTTGCTTTAAATGTTGGTGTCTTATGGTTTGTCCTTTAGATATAAAGAGAATGCTATGAGGCTATCAAGAATTCACCATGAACAGCCAGTGAAGCCTCTGGATCGAGCTGTCTTCTGGATTGAGTTTGTCATGCGCCACAAAGGAGCTAAACACCTCCGGGTTGCTGCCCATGACCTATCCTGGTTCCAGTACTACTCTTTGGATGTGCTTGGGTTCCTGCTGGCCTGTGTGGCAACTGTGATATTTATCATCACCAAATGCTGTCTGTTTTGTTGCCAGAAGTTTACTAAAACAGGAAAGAAGAAGAAAAGGGCGTAGTTGCATCTAGACCCAAAGCTGGGAGTCTTGTCAGATGGACCTCCTCTAGTTCAACTTCACAAGAAAAGATTGTGAACCAGCCTCCTCTTCTGCTTATAAAATCACTTTTAAAACTTATCATGATTTAATTTCACTTGGGTGTAGAGTTTTGTAGTGTTAACTTTTTCTGAATAAGGTATTCAATACTTAAAATTGTGTGTCAAGATTCACCCTTCTCTTTTGTTTTGGGAGACTGGTAGTGCTGGCTTGTACATCCAGCCTTAGCAT